ACATTTTTTTTACTACATTTAAATAAAGATTTATTTCGGTGAAATATATTTTTATTTAACTATAATATATTATATCCTACAAATATAAATTTTTAAGTCCTTTTTTCAGTATACTTCTCACTACAATATCTTACTTTCACAATTAAAAAAAAATTTTTATTTTTTTTTGGCGAACATTTTTAAGATATAGAAAACTTAAAAAACATTAAATTCTCTTTTCTGAACATAAAAGCTCCCTAAATGATTATCAAAAACATATATGTTCTGATTTGGTTTGTTCCGATAGTTTAAGATTATTTTAGAATAGACATTTTAGAGTAATGACTTTTTAAAACACAAAATCGCACATTTTAATAGCATGACAAAATTGTGAACATAGACTGCAGTTAAAGTACAAAGTATTAATATTAAGAACATTATTATACCGACGACAATCCGTTTCCTTCCGCGAGCCCTGAACGATCGCCAAGAATTACAAATCCGTCATCCGGTAAGCTGCTCGGTAATCTTCCGACATCATTTAACGCCATATTTCACGTAATACATATATATACATCTGTACGTGTGCGGGCGCGCGCGAAATCGCACGGGGTGAGGGCGGCATTTTGCCGGCGCGACACGGTGCGCCAACACAGACGGATAATATCACAGGCTGGAACGAATTTTCGTGGAAAGAGGAAAGCGCGTCGATTACGTCGAGCGGGTGTGAGTGCGTTGGAGGTTTCGGGGTTGTCAGCGAGCGGATGATTGCGCGCCTGCGGCGTCACAGGGGCTTCGCGATGCGTCGAGTACCACGTACATAATGTATAGCGCATACCCCGAGTGGTCACCTACATCTTATGGGCTCTTCACAACGTTTTTCGAGACTCGGTGATTTCAGAGTCCGTCGAATTCAACTGGCTGTTCTCCAGTCACAGACCAGCATTTATTACAGTCGATTCTTAAATTCAAAACTGTCTTAAATACTGCGCAGTCTTAGGGTGCGATTTCACTTATCCGTTAATTTTGTCGTTTTTCACATGCAGAAAGATTATCGGATCTTTCTACCCTATAGCCAATCAACAGGCTTGAAAATTTGTATCGTAACGACAAAAACACACGAATGTAATCTCACCCTTAAGGTACATTATGTTTACAACCAATTAAAGAGAGAGAGCCGTATTAGTGCTATCTTAAGACATTACGTAAGACGGTCTTAAATTTATAGAACGGACTATCGGAATACCGGTGATATACTCGCCATGAACTTCGCGTTTATAAAGCAAACATTAAACAAATTTTTCTGAGAATCACTTTAATCGATTATACATTGTATAAATGCTTTTATGATGTCATAAGGACTAAGTTTTAATATTATAATTTCTGTAATTTTTTATTGTTCTTAAAGGACTTGATTTTCCGGGCGAAATAAATTCAACTCTTATGTTTATCACTTCATCTGACTGTTTAATTCTAATTTAATATTTAAATTAAGTAATTACATGCGCTCGCTCTCTCTCTCTCTCTCTCTCTCTCTCTCTCTCTCTCTCTCTCTCTCTCTCTAGATAAACTGTTTAAGATCTAATGATATCATTTGATATTAAATGTATAATGAAATGTCCTGTACTAAATAGTTTTTCGAAAAATATTTATATTATTTCATGCATTACATTTCTTTTCTCAATTAAAAAAACTTTTATTTAATTTCTCATAATTTTGTTCATGACGATATTATTTGATATAAAATGTTTCCTATATGAAACGACGGTTTTCGAAAAGTATTCTATATAATATTCAATGATCGAACAATAAGTTCTTTCTATACTTTTCAAGATTTTATAATAAATTTTTATATAACAAGAATATATTTAAGTTATGTGAGAGAGTAAATCATTTTTTACGTACACAAAACTCTGAGGATTTAATCAGTGATACAATATCACGTGGCATCAGAAATTATTTGAAAGGGCCAGTAAAATAGTCTTAATTTGATCAGCCACGAGCAGACTTTCATTATTATCAATAACCTGAATTTTTTGGTAATAATCTGAGAATAAAAAATATAATTTCGTTAATAAAATATATGTCTCTCTATTGTATACTACTTATATTGATATTAAATATTAAATATGCGCTTACTTATTAAAAAAAAAACAACTTATATAGAAAATATGAATATAATTTGTTTTACTTTAACTTATTCCGTGTGCACCAGTTTAGAGAATGCAAGAATAAAAAACAGACCTTACAATACTCCGAGTTTTCGCAAATATGCGATAAAAATAAATTTCCTATATGAAATGGATTTCGAAAGTATATCAACATATTAAATATTCCAATAATTACTAGTGAATTATCATCCTTTTTAAATGATATATATTCAGAAAAAAGAAAACTCGTAATAAAAGTTATACATGAAACAAAGAGTGCCTCGACGCCATTCTGCTGTTCTGGCTATACGTCAGCAATTAATCACGGCATCTAATTAACTCCGCCAACAAAGTACGAGTAATTTCGAGATAGAGGCAGGGAATGACGTGGCAGAGCGTTAGCGTGTACGAGTGTGTTCGCGGATGAAGGTGTCGGTAAAAGGAAGCGGCGCGGCGGGGTGAGGAAGATCTGTGTGTTTCAACCCCCGTGTGGAGTCTCCTTAACGTTAGGAAGCTCTGCCACTAATTGAATCTCCTCTCTTACTCGCGTCTGGAGCCTCGACAACCGCTGGGAACCGGAGCACCCGTCCTGCATTAAACACCCCCGACACCCTGAGCACCCTCATCCCTGCCAAGCGGTCTCGTATCGCCCCCTCCCTCCCTCCTACTTTCCCTCACTCCCTACCCTGCCGCGAATCCCATCCTATCTACCTTTTCTCTTTCCATCTCGCCGCTACCTCTCTCCACCTCCGCACAGAATCCAGCCCCTGCTAAGCGTCCCAGAAAACGAGCCTCCACCGCTGTTATATCGCCGTCGATGGCGAGGAACATCGACCCGTGTACACCTAGCCCATCCGTGTAACTCTTGTGCGGAAGATCAAGCTCGTTCATTTCTAAATATCGCTCTTCAACCGAAAAATAACTCATGGGTACATTACGGATAATGGATACATTAGCAATAAGCCGTCTGCGTTTTCTGTTTGGCCATAAATGATTTATACACCTTCAAGTAACCACCAAGAAAATGAAATTAGTTTCTGCCGAAATTGATTATTGTTGCTTGATGCTCTAAATGTCCTATTATTAAAATATTATTCTTAGGATAGAAAATGATAGCGCACGAATCTTATCACTCTATGACTTCTTTCTTTTCCTAACTTCTTTTGATTTAATTATAAATAATTTTGAAATAATCGGAAAGAGGAAAAAATATAAGTTCAAAGAAAAAACTAAAGATTTCCTTATCATATTTGTTATCGTATTTGTTATATGTATATGGTATTTACATTATCCGGATTTATATGTTCATATTTGTATTTAAAGGCTTTAATTTAATCTTCTTTTAATGCTAAGATATACTCGTTGTTTTAACGAATTATGCAAAATTGTATTTAAGCTATCCATGGTTTTTTACATTTTTACAATTTCTAATCCAGAAATGGAAACGTAAATTTAATCTGCTTTATAAAATAAATAAAATTTATAAAAAAATTAATCTATCTCTGCATCAAAAAGAGATAAATAAAATAAGCAGTAAAAGAAATGTTTTAACGTCCTATTTATTGTATACTTGTTTTGTATTCCATTTTAAAGGATTCCATTTTGTGCTTGAATGAATATCTTCAAGTCATTAAATGTCAAAAGTGCTTGCCCTAAGAAATGTGACGTAGATCAAATGAGACGTCACCAAAAAACTGAAACGTCGCATGACAATGCATATTCATTTATAACACCTTCACGGTTAGCAAGCCCACATTCGAGTTTCCCATAGTATCGCGCAATACAGACAAAATAATATTCAATCCAAGATGATGTATTAGCACCTGAAATTTTCATTAATAGTGATATCTTGTTCATCGATATCGATTTCATCATGTTAGCTTTTACACTGATAACGCGTGAACTTGTTCGACCACGGTCAACGCTTTGTTAGCAGAGGTTTATTTAGGAGGGTTTGGTTGACCGATAGTTACAGTCGATTTCTTCGTGGTTTATTTGCGGTCTTTCACGAAAACACAAGAGAATTGATGGAATAATTCTTGTAGTTATTAATTGATAAACTTGATAAATATATTTTTATGACTTTATTATTGATGGACTTGTTTAACAAATATTTTTACGTCAATAGATTTTTATGATGCATTAAAATATAAAAACATAAAGTACTGGATAAAAATGTGAATATAAGTTTTAGGTAAAATATAAGTTTTAGACAAAAAACATAACAATTTTGTATGTATTAAATTCACTCGGAGTAAATTTAATAATCTGCAAAATAAATAGAATTTATAAAAAATGAATCTGTCTGGATAAAAAAAAAGGGATAAATAAAATAAATTGTTTAAAAAAGTTTTAAAACATTCTATTCTGTACCTATTTTGATACTTTATTTTAAAAGATATTTGGTTCCATGGCAATCAATATTTTAACAATTCAATATTCTATAACTGATAATATTAATAGAAAAAAAATTGAAAATACAGATATACAAAACTAAAGAATTGAATCAAACAAAATAACTAATTATTTCTACTAAAATTTAATTCTCCGTCTGCAATTATATTTTTATTCCTTACACATTTACTATCTGGATCTTTTAAAACCTTTACTTAATAAAAAATAGAAAAAAAATGGAAAATGATGAAAAATGATGAAAAAGTAGTAAAAAGAATATATAATTTAGCAATAAGGGAACCCCCTTCCCAAACTTCGCTCTCCTTTATATTTCAGAGTTTAAGAATGAAATTACTTGTGCCAAAAAGAAATTCAAATTACACACAGAGGATTAATTGGGCAAATGCATAACCTCGTGAAATTACATACAAACTTGTCGCATATTGAAAACATTAATATTACTCGTGACACACTTACCGTCTTTGTTCATGTTAGCTTCGAAGCACTTAGCGAGGCGACAAGCACGGCATTGATTCCTGTGAGTCTTGTCGATTGGACAACGTCCTTTCTTAGCACCCTGGGCTTTACAGATGTACTCCCGATTGCTGTGTATACTTCGTTTGAAAAAACCCGAGCAACCTGATAATAACCGTGAAAAATTTACATATAACAATATGACATAATACATGATCAAATTTATTATTGTTAAACTATTTTTAAATATCCAACAATGCCAACGAGGAAGATTCATTTAAGTGAGAATAAAAGAATTTATTCGTAATTAATGTCTTTATATTTAATCTTTTTGGAAATTTTGGTTAAAATTTTTAAGAAGAAATTAAATTGAAGAAATAGTGTTCCTTTTGATATCTATAATATTCACAAGTTTAAAATGTATCTTTTTTATTATGTATATATATAATTTATCAAATAATTTTTCCTGATATATATACATATAATAAGCAAGTTCCCTAAAGAATATTACGTTAAGATTTGTTTTTATCTTACAAATATCATTAATTAATATTACCGTCGCAGCTGTAGATGCCGTAGTGTTTTCCAGAACTACGGTCGCCACATACATCACACAGTATGTCAAGTAATCTGTCTCCTATAACAAAAAAATACGTCGTATTTTATGCGATAGTTTCTTTCATACATCCTTGTTATTATATAATAATTACACTGAGAAAAATGTTTGGTTGAAAAGTAACAAACGGAAAATTCTGATTATATCAACCAGAATTCCGGTTATCTCAACTAGAATTTTTGTAGAAAATTTTCAACCAAACCACTTACAGCTAAAAAAACAAACGGTCTTTTCCAAACACTATATATTTATACATAATTTATATAGAAATACATTTTATCGGAATCAGAATTTTCGAAAAGATTGTGTCACGTAAATATATTAGAGAAATTCAGAGCTAACATTATCAATAGTTAATAGCTACAGCTATTAAATAAATAATACGCCGGCATAGTAATCATTATTGCGATAAATGGATTAAATTATATAAAATTTATTACGTACAATGAAATAATTATTAAATAAAAAGAGATCGACGATTAAAGGACTCTCGCGAAATCCCGTTTAAGAAAAGCGGGTGGGCCGCAAGAAGATCACCGGTGCTAATCTGTTTCCCCCTTTTCGTAGGAACCCTAATCGTCCTAATGATCCGCGGCAAGAAAAACACGGCCATGCCTAAGCCAACCAAAGCCTTTCTTCCCCGTTCTGGGGAATCAACCGCCTTCGCGTCTCACACCCAACCAACCTAACCCGATCAACCCGGGTTACTTCAACCCCAACGGATTACTGCCTTCGTCGTGTATACCAACGTCTTCTTCTTCTTCCATATCTCCTACGTCGTGCCATATTGTTTATTGTTTATGGTGTGCCTAAATTAATCTTCAAAGAGAATTTGAACGCGTCGATTAGCTTTAACGCTATCTTATAGTTGATTCTTTATTCTCTTAACTCTCGGCAAGTCGCGGTTCTTAATTTAACCCCGAAGATCGCGGTATACAAATCGGTACTATAGAGTTATTTTTTTGCAAAAAAGCAACATGAATACATAAAAAATGTTTATTGAAATAACTGCACTGGAAAAAGAGTCTGATTAATTAGAATTCTAGTTGAAAACGAACGAATCAGAATTGTCTAATTGAATATACTATTATAATTCTAATAGAGATATATCAGAATTTTTATTGATGTGATCAGAATCTTTTCTATAGTTCGTCCATTTTCAAATAGAAATGTTTTTCAGTGTACATATAATTTATAAAATCGTTTCTGTGTGATATTATAATATGATTTCAGTCACTATCTGTCCGCGCGACATACGATGTGCAGCGGTCCTTAATGACTCATATAACAGCTATGGTTTATCTATAAGTAAATAGTGTCGCTATTTAAAGAATATTTACAAATATATTTTATATATCTCTCTTATTAGATATACTGTGGCCTCCTGAGAGTTAAATTTTTTTTCCGTATACTTTAATCCATTTCAAAAATAATTTCCACGTGTCGGAAATAATCCTAACTTAAATTTGCTAGTTTTTATTTTTGAGACATGCATATCATTTGAGAATAAATTTTTTAAATGCTTGTAAATTTGAATGTTTAAGAATGTAAAATAATAATATTTCCCGAAAAATTTATTAATAATAGATTAGGTTTATATATAATATAATTATATATACAATAAATATAAGATGAGATTTAAAATTATAGATAAGATTTACTGTCAAATTTTCTTTTTAATGGATGGAGGCCAATAAATTACGAAGATTAAATCTAAGATTCAATCCAGCTGTTTAAAATTATGCATCTGGCTCTTTCTGCATATTGTCCGTATACAAAATTCAAGATTAAAGATAACGATGTAAACTCAGTTCTTGTACCGATCAAATGCGTATTCACTGAGTAATATTACTGATTGCGAACTGACTGAGGACCAACTGCAAACAAAACTTTCGTACTTTGTATTCTTATTGTTGACAATAGCGAGATGGATCAAGATTAGAGAATTAGTCAGAGAACTCTATTTGAGCTAATTTGTAAACAAGTTTAATTCATTATATACTAGAAGTATGAAAAATATCGAAAATAATATAATATGCAAAATATATGCAATAAGCAAAAGATGCAAAATAAAAAATGTATTTTTAAAAAGCTGACAAAACATATAGAAGTCCCACTTACTTAGCTTAGCCCTATTCTATAAAAATGTATGCATTTACATAAACTTCCGCAGTTTAGTTATTAAAGATCCGAATAGGTATATTTTCCATTTATTTGTAAAAAAAATCACATTAAAAATAAATTGTCTACAATTTTTAATGATCAATCAACATATATACATATAAATATTTAAAAAAATTTAACTATTAAAAATTTTATTCAAACAAAATATTTTCAATTATTCTGATTATGACGCATACAATTCCTGATACTCGCATTTACGATAATCGCAATTCCATAAATATATAAAGTATATTCGATCACTGTTAATTGTCTCTCAACCATGCTAAATAACTTCCCAAATTTCACGAACGACACAATTTACAAAATCCATTTAAAAACTTGTAATTATAATTATCTCTCAATCGTATTATAAAATATATAGCATCTCGCGATACACGATTTACCTGTTAATAAATATAAACATTCAAAATGTTCGAACACTAATCGCGCGAACGCGATACGCAATTTCTCAATTTTCCAGATTTCCGATTTGCAGAAGAGGCAACGGGGAGTTCTAAACACTATCATAATTGCTTTCCAATGCGGTAACACAATTTCTCGAATGTGGAGAACAGGCTTTATCTTATCGACAAACAGAAACAATATCCGATTCAAGATATCGTCAGATACTACAGATCGCGACATACGATTTTTCAAGACGCAATAAATTGCGATTTATCACCAAATCGCGGAGAATCGTCGCGCTAAGTCACTTTCACGTCGCGCACCCCTTTATCGCGGCGAACGCTTATCACACTAGCTATAAACCCTTTATCGCGCGTTAAGATGAAACAGAAGAGAGAGAGATAGAGAGAGAGAGAGATGCCGCAAGAGTCTTAGGAGACTGACCTGTGCCCATCTCCTCCGCAGCTGTTCAAAAGTCGAACATCGCCAGAGAGCGACGTATAGCCGAAACCGTGGTCCCGACGTGGCGCCGAGGAGGTCGCGCGAAGTCCCGAAGCATTCTCCGTGACGGGATGGCTTCGAGCCTCGACGTACCTACTCATCTCTCTCTCTCTCTCTCTCTCTCACACACACACACACACACACACACACACTCTCTCGCTCTCTCTCTTGTTGGGAAGGGCGTACTCATGCCCATGGCTATGTGTACATGTATCTGTATGCATGTATGAGTGTGTCTATTTGTCCGTGTATGCGCATATAGGGGTTGTTGCCCGACTGGCTGCCGGAGTAGCTATCTCTCCTGTCCGTAGCCACATCACGGAGAATCATGGGTCGTTCTCCGATACGGTCGACACGGTCCGGTAGTGGGTATCCGCGAGGGGCGGTGGAACGGGATGCCGAGGGGGGTGGGAAAGGATAGGGTAGGTGGATGGTTGCCGAGTGCGAACCAACACACCGACGCCAATCCCTAAACGACCGCGAGTCGCGGCGAGGAGGCCACGGCGGCGATGGCGTATACCCGGGGTTACGTCACGTGAATCCACGGCGTAACACCTCTTCTTCACCTCCACTGCCGCCGCCACCGCCGCCGCCACCCCAGTTGGCACGTTGGCCTACACGGTTCGGAGGGGTAGGTGGAGGATAAGAGGGCGACGGAAACGGAGGGGAGATAGGGTGGGGAATTTCAGCGAGCTAGCGACTAGACTCGGCCCGGGGACTTGCTGGCCGAGTGGCTGACTCGACTATAGCGGGGTAGCGCTAGTTAGCCATCAGCAACTACGGGGGCGGCTCCCGGAGGCCACGTTGTCAGACGGCCGTTACCACTGTGTCATTGGTCGACTCCACCCTCGACGGCTCGAGCTTGTGGGGGTGAGCGCGCAAAGGGGTGGTGGGCGGTGCTAGACGAATCGACGACGCTGATTCGACACCGGTTCGCCAGTCGCGTCGCGCCGACCAATCGACAATACGGGATTACGTTGGCTGACGACGACGTTAACATCTGCCTTCCGGCAGCCAACGCTATTTACCAGCTATACATACTAGTGGTCGTTATTGCTTTTTCACGGTGTAGGTATAGGTATAAGTATAGGTGAATGTGAGGGTAAGCTATCGGCGGAAAATTAAATACAAGTTGATATCGAGCAGATTAAAGAAATACAATGTCGAATCTATATAACTAGATACATTTCTTCATAATTTTATAAAGATCCTAAATTGCGAATATTATTAGGCAACTTTTTTTAAAACTTCAAGGAGATCGTCTCTTAAACTGTTTTATACCGCGTTAAATTTCCGGGCGATAATAATTATTTTAATTGAGAGTCCACATTTGTGGGTCATATAATCTGCAAATGCGTATTCTCTATGGGTATTAATTATACCACAAAAAAAATTAATGAGTTTATAGCATGGACTTTTTTTGATACAACACGTTATATTGATTAGGCCATTTTGTCGGCGACGACTCGGCATTATGTAATGACCAATAATGACACGCCCCTCTAACAAGTGAACTGTCTTTGTAAGCTGCGTACAATCCCTCGATCGATCACGCCCTCTTGACTTTCTGGCTTAACCAGAAGTCGGTAATTATATCTTGGGGGAGTTTAGGGGTTTCGATCCTCACTAAACGAAAGCCGCGTGTAAGATGTTTTCAAGACCTAATATAACTTATTTATATTTTTTATTATATTCGTTTTATTCTTTATGCTTCTAAATGTTTTTTTCTTTAATTATCTATTTATCATTTAGCAGTACACATTACCATAACATTTGGATCATTTAGCAGTACACATTACCATAACATACCATGAATTTTATTATTATATTTTACAGCATAAAGGAAAAAAATTTCTTCTATCATAAATTTCTCCTTCGCAAAATTTAAAAAGTCAAATTTGAATTTATTACAATAGCATTGTCATTTAATACAATAATTGTTTGTTATTCTCATGACATTCTTATCAAATACATCAAACATAAATCCTAAAATAATAACATTTACAGTTATTGTAGCGACAATGGACATTATATGTTGAATTCCTATTTGATTCCTAAAAAAAAAGAATAGATTATTTTAATAACACATAATATTTTCATAGGCATATAATAGTACATTGTGTAACCGTGGGGGAATGTTGTTTATTGTGGGGACGAGCGCGATGGCACGAGCGAAGCGAGTGCGTACGCGCGCCCGTGTCGACCTATAAACAAATATGCCCCCACTGTTACACATAGAATTTTTCTTTACAAGTGCTCGTCGTAATGTGCCCTATGCAGCAACGTTTTTGCGCAGAAGAGTGGGATTAGAGAAATAACTTAACGGCTTGAGATATTGTTTATTTACCGCACGCAAAAGCGTTAAGCTGTAGGGCACTTTACGCGCACGCGTGAAGAAAATTTTATAACTTACATAATAAGATAAAGTAATACATATTACATTATGCTGTGTGTATTCATCAAGTCAGTAATGCGTTCCTAAGACGATTCATCATTTAATCGACACTGCTGCAACTGATCTTGTAGTTGAGCATATCGCATTTGTAAAGAGCGTTCTCGCTCTGTCTGCCTGTTTACATCTTCCATGAGGCCATTTATCCTTCTCGGAATCGCTGCCTCTTCCTGTGTTTGCAAAAACTTAAATGTCGATAATTCGAGATGAGCCTGTTCTATTTGCTCCCACAAATCGTGTAGCTGC